ATATATATATATATATATATATATATTTATATATATATTATATATATATATTATACACCGTATTGTGCAAACATTTTAGTCAGGTGTGAAGACATGCTATAAAACAAGAATGCTTTCAAAAACATAATTTAATTGTTTTATCAATTCACAAAATACAAGTAAGCAAACAGACGTGAAGGGACAAAGCCTTTGTCAGAATCTGGAGGGCAGTTATGCAAAATGCCTCCAAGAAGTAATTTCCTTTACAGAAAGCAGTACCAGCTTTTGATACTTACTTTTTTCCCAAAATAAACCATTACTTCCATAGATATTTTTGTTAAATAAGTGGTTGAAAAGGCAAATTTCTGTTGTGTTGTTATTCGAATATATTCCCCTTAATGTAGGCACTGTTTGATAAAAAGATTGTTTGCCTGTTCAGATATGTTAAAATATAATCAACAATTTCCATGGGTGTGGGGTGGCAGAAGAAAGCACAGAGCTGCTTTGGGTATATAGGACAAACCCAACATGCAGGATTGCCATAATGTACAAGTATGATTTGCAAACTTCCAAATTATTACAAATGTGCCCCCCCTCCAAACATATTTGTTTTTATAGGTTCTTATTTTATGCTATTTTGCCTTAAAGGATATCTAAACCAAAGAACCAAAATGAAATATATGGAGGTTTACCAGTCTTTCCATGAGGTGGCTGCATTATTTTTCATTTTTGAGATGAAGAACATTTGCAGCAAGTACAGAGAATACCTGTTAATCTTGAGGGCAAATTCAGTGTCCTTGTCATTTCCTGACATTGTTTTCTTCCTTCAGAGCTATGTTTTGTAAACTACCAATTGCCCTGCCCCTTGTGTAAGGAAGATAAAGTGGCGAAGATATGTTTGTAATCCAAATCAGGAGAACAGCCTTGTTGACAACTGGGTCACTGCACAAATATAGTCGAATGAGTGATACAGACATCCAAGGATAGAAAATTTGTTATTTTCAGGATTAAAAAGTATTAAAAAAACACAAATACCTCAACTATGAACTGGTAGGCTGATAGAAAAAAAAAGAAATGTAAAAAAAAAAAAAAAAAATATATACAGTTGCAAGAAAAAGTATGTGAACCCCTTGGGATTACGTGGAGTTTTGCATGAATTGGGCATAAAATGTGCTCTGAACGTCATCTAAGTCACAACAATAGAAGAACACAGTCTGCTGAACATAATACTACACAAACATTAGATGTTGCCATGGTTTAATTGCACATAACATGTAAACATTCACAGTGCAGGGAGGAAAAAGTATGTGAACCTTTGATTTAATAACTGATTGACCCTCCTTTGGCAGGAATAACCTCAACCAAACGTTTCCTGTAGTTGCAGATCAGACCTGCACAACGATCTGGAGTAATTTTGGACCACTCCTCTTCACAAAATTGTTTCAGTGTAGAAATATTCTTGGGATGTCTGGTGTGAATCGCTCTCTTAAGGTCATGCCACAGCATTTCAATCGGGTTGAGGTCAGGACTCTGACTGGGCCACTCCAGAAGGCGTATTCTGTGCTGTGGCAGCCATTGTTTTGAAGAATTACTTGTATGCTTTGGGTCATTGTCCTGTTGCATCACCCATCCTCTGCGGAGCTTCAGTTGGCGGACAGATGGTCGTACGTTTTCCTGCAAAATGTCTTGATAAACTCTGGAATTCATTTTCCCATCAATGACAACAATCCGTCCAGGCCCTGAGGCAGCAAAGCAGCCCCAAACCATGATGCTCCCTCCGCCATGTTTTACAGTGGGGATGAGGTTTTGATGTTGGTGTGCTGTGCCTTTTTTTCTCCTTACATAGTGTTGTGTGTTCTTCCCAAACAACTCAATCTTGGTTTCATCTGTCCACAGTATATTTTGCCAGTAGTGCTGTGGAACATCCAGGTGCTCTTTTGCAAACTTCAAACGTGCTACAATATTCTTTTTGGACAGCAATGGCTTCCTCCGTGGTGTCCTCCCATGTACTCCATTCTTGTTTAATGTTTTCCTTATTGTAGATGTGTCAACAAAAATGTTAGCATGTGCCAGAGATTTCTGTAGGTCTTTAACTGACACTCTGGTATTCTTCTTTACCTCATGCAGCATTCTGCGCTGTGTTCTTGCAGTCATTTTTACAGGACGACCATGCCTAGGGAGAGTAGCAACAGTGCTAAACTTTCTCCATTTGTAGACAGTCTGTCTTACCGTGGACACATGAACATCAAGGCTTTTGGAGATACTTTTGTAACCCTTTCCAGCTTCATGCAAGTCAACAATTCTTGATCATAGGTCTTCTGAGAGCTCTTTTTCTGCGAGGCATGGTTCACATCAGAGAGTGCTTCTTGAAACCAGTAAACCCAAAACAGGTGTGTGTTTTTTAAGGGCAGGACAGCTGTCAGCAACACATCCAATATCATCACACTGATTGGAGTCAAGGTTGGCTCACTCCTGGCTCCAATTAGCTCTGGGAGAAGTCATTAAGCTAGGGACTCACATACTTTTTTCCTCCCTGCACTGTGAATGTTTACATGTTATGTGCAATTAAACCATGGGAACATCTAATGTTTGTGTAGTATTATGTTCAGCAGACTGTGTTCTTCTATTGTTGTGACTTAGATGACGTTCAGAGCACATTTTATGCCCAATTCATGCAAAACTCCACATAATCCCAAGGGGTTCACATACTTTTTCTTGCAACTGTGTATATATATATATATATATATATATATATATATATATATATACACACACACACACAGTGTTCAGCGTAACTGAGTACACCCCTTTTGAAAAGTAAGGTTTTAATCAGTATCTCAATGAACATAAGAACAATTTCCAAAATTGTGACAGTTTTACTCAAATTAGTGGATGCAAAAATCAATACACCCCGCAACAAAAACTACTCCATCTAGTATTTTGTATGACCTCCATGATTTGTAAGGGCAGCACCAAGTCTTCTAGGCATGGGATTAACCATCCCATAATATATTGTAACATCGATCTTTTTCCATTCTTTAAGAACTACCTCTTTTAGAGCCTGGATGCTGCATGGAGAGTGATGCTCAACTTAACGTTTCAGTATTCCCCATAGGTGTTTGATTGGGTTCAGATCAGGAGACGTACTTGGCCACAGAATCACTTTCACCCTGTTCTTCAGAAAAACAACAGTCGCATTAGGTGTGTTTTGGATCATTGTCATGTTGAAAAGTGCACGACGACCAAGGGTACAGAGTGATGCTAGCATCTTCTCTTCCAATATAGAGCAGTACATCTGTGAACTCATGATACATCAATGAAATGCAGCTCCCCGTCACCAGCAGCACTCATGCAGCACCACAGAAGGGCACTGCCACCACCCTTTTTCACTGTAGGCGCTGTGCATTTTTCTTCAGAGTCCCAGGAGTCTTCTCCTTTTTCAACATGGGCCCTGGTAAATTCTAGGCAGGCATTTTTGTGCTTGGGCTTTAAGAGAGGCTTCCTTTGTGAACGACACCCATGCATGCCATTTCTATGCAATGTACGCTCTATTGTGTCATGGGAAACAATCACCCCAGTTTGGCTTTCTATTCTTTAACTAACTAAAGTGAACTTGCATGGAGATTTTTTTCAATCCTTTTCATCAGAAGACGCTCCTGTTGAGGTGTTATCTTCCATGGACGGCCTAAATGTCTCTGTGAGATGGTTGCAGTTATATCTTTGTTAAATTTTTGTATCACTTTTGTTACAGTGTTCTGACTAATAAGTAAAGCTTTGCTGATCTTCTTGTACCCTGCACCTTTCTTGTGTAAAGAAAAGATTTTCTTCCTCAAACTTTTTGACATTGCTCTTCCATGTGGTGCCATTGCTGACAGTATGAAATGAGAGGGGTTTTCTTTGTTTAAGTAACACTCTTTTATAATCAACTGTCTGCTGGATACTTGTTTAATGAATAATTAGACTCACCTGTATTTCATTTTTGTATATTCATTTTTGCAACATGGTCTTGAATGAATTTGTTAGTGTGATAGATATTTTGGACCTATAATTTTCATCTTCTTGGGCCTACAATAATTTTTAATATTATTGTGAACTTCTGATAGGGGTCTCAATTCCTGTAACTTATTTACCATCTGTTGCATCATCTCAATACCCCCCCGTGAAGGTTTCCTGTAGAAGTTTATGACAGTAGGGAAATCCAGCTGAATAAGCCCTGGAGTCGTCATTTCTAACACCTCCTAGGGAGTTTCCTGTGGGAACTCCTTTCAATTGAGGTATGCTTCACTGGACATTGGCCTATCCTAAATTTCATCTGATGAACTACAATTGGCCAATGTCTTTCACAAATCACAGAGCCCCCCTTCGAACAGAAATGGACTGGAACCTATTGAAGGGTGGGTCCACCTGGAATGGAGGGAGTATAAAAGTATGCCATTGCTCTGTTTCTGTCCTTTTCAGAGCCCAGACCTCAGAACATCAGGATGTCTGTGTAATGTATCAGCATTGCTCTATTTCTTTTCTATAAAACTTTCTTTCCTATAGTTATCTCTCTATACTGATAGTATACTGTATGTTATACTGTAACCTCAATTATTTTTTTCTAATATATCTTTTGTTTGATTCGATTAGTACCGTATTTTCCAGCGTATAAGATGACTTTTTTTACTTAAAAACATACCCCAACAATTGGGGGTTGTCTTATACGCCGGGTATAGAACTGCTGGATGTGCGGTAATACTGTACGGTAGCTTCAGCTACATACAGTGTACCGCACTGAGCCAATCACGGCGAGCAATGTATTCTATTAATGAATACAGAGCCTGCTCGGTTGGCTGAATTGTGACATCATCAGCCCGCCTCTCTGACGCAGCCAATCCGAGCAGGCTCTGTATTCATTAATAGAATACATCACTTGCCGTGATTGGCTCATATGACGTCCTCCCATTCTCCGCGCATGCGCGGCGATGCGCTGTGTCTCTCGGACACAGCGGATCACCGATCACGGAAAGAAACGAAGATGTCGGCTCCGTCATGTGATCAGCTGTGTCCAATCACAGCTGATCACATGTAAACAGGGAAATGACGGTTATCGGCATTTCTCTGCTCTCGAGCTGTCACGCTGACAGCTCGAGAGGAGAGGAGAGCCGGTAATCTGCTTTCCGCGGAGGGGACATGTACACTGATCATCAGGGCACTGATGATCAGTGTGCCCTGATGATCAGTGTAGCCCCAGCAGTGCCAGCTGTCAGTGTCCATCAGTGCAACATCAATGCCACATATCAGTGCCTACCAGTGCACATCAATGCCACATATCAGTGCCCATCTGAGCTTCCTTTAAATGCCACCCATCAGTGCCAGTCAGTGCCACCTATCAATGCTAATCAGTGCCACCTATCAGTGCTGCTAATCAGTGCCACCTATTAGTGCGCATCAGTGCCGCCTATCAATGCCATGTATCAGTGCCGCCTTTCAGTGCCCATCAGTGATGCCTGTCAATGCCCATCAGTGCCACCTACCAGTGCCTCCTCATCAGTGCCACCTATTTCAGTGCTGCCAATCAGTGCCACCTATCAGTGCACATCAGTGCCGCCTATCAGTGTGCATTAGTGCCGCCTATCAGTGCCAGTCAGTGCCGCCTATCGATGCTGCCTATCAGTGCCACCTAACAGTGCCAGTCTGTGCCACCTAACAGTGCCAGTCTGTGCCACCTAACAGTGCCATGTATCAGTGCTGCCTTTCAGTGCCCATCAGTGATGCCTGTCAATGCCCATCAGTGCCACCTACCAGTGCCTCCTCATCAGTGCCACCTATTTCATATGGGTACAGTGTTGCATGGCCGCGCAATTGTCATTCAAAGTGTGACTGCGCTGAAAGCTGAAAATTGGCCTGGGGGGGAAGTGGGTATAAGTGCCCTGTAGGCTAGGGGTTAAATGGTGTTGCCTCAGAAGGGGGGTAGTCTTATACGACGAGTATAGCCCAAAACCTATGTTTTAACTGGAAAATTAGGGGGTCGTCTTATATACCCAGTCGCCTTTTACGCCGGAAAATACGGTAACTACGTTTCTTCTGTGTAAAAAAATTAGATCTTTATTTTTTGCACAGTTGTTATCCTTTGCTATTAACATTATTGGTAATAGCCACATGAGGATTGGCTAAATTCATGTATAGATAAAAGGTTGTAATCACTTATTACATTTATAATCTTAGAACCAAGTAAATAAGTGTGGTAGCAAAAACCGCCAAAACATTAGGAAAAATACTTTTTCGTGTGTGCAAATTAACAAATCTTGTTTGCAATCAATGCTCTGCATTTGTGGGAGTATTTTGTAGTATAGTGTCCCATAGAGAAAAAAATATATATATTTTTATATATTACAGTATTTTAGAAAGATATATGCTTTATTCAAAAAAAAACCTGGGCGATCACCAGTGTGTATTGCACAGAACAAGCAAATTCAGGTAGTTTGAGTATTTAGTGAAAGAAAGATCTTCTAAAATTTATATTTCTCATAGAGACATTTTATTCTTTGTAAAAGTACTGTAAATGAAATTTAATTCAAGCCTAACTTTATGGATGGCTTACTAACAACAGTGCAAATCTCTTTTGTGTTTTAACATCTTTAGCTGCACCTGTATAGCAATATCATATTGTATTTGTAGACTTATTCCTCTATTACTCAGCCTGTATGTACAGTATACTGTTGGACTAAATCATCCAGCAATTTATCCCTTATGCACAAGACACAGTGTTTTTCTGAGAATGACACATTGCCTCATATTTTTCCCATTTACCCCTTTACTAACAAAATGATGAATGATCTGCCCAGTCTCTCATTTTGGGTGTGGGCCAAATATAGCAGTAATAATGTCATGTTGTGAATTGAGATTCATAATTTTCCTATAAAGTGGAGCCAGATAAGCTGTGAAAAAGAAATTCCCTGGCAATCATTACATGCAAATTTGCCTTACTGAATATAATCTTCAATTTATCTGTATATACAGTGTGTGTGTGTATATATATATATATATATATATGTGTGTGTGTATGTATATATATATATATATATATATATATATTTTTTTTTTTTTAGCAAATGTGAGCCTATTCTTTGAACAGAAAAATTGTGTTATTTATTCTCATAAATGTGAAGTTTTTACATACTGTATATTTTCATTTTGTTGATTATACAATCTTTACGTAAACAATGTTTTATAAGGATATTTTAGCTAGTTATTATGGCATGTACATATATTTGTCCATGAGAGGACCATTCAATGGTCCTAAGGATTGTCCTTGTTATCTGCCATCACACTCAACTGTTTTCTTAACTGTTTAAACCAATCTGTGGAAATGAATGATACCAATGTGAAGTTTATAATTTGACTATAGTATTGACATCCAGGAATAGAAGAATAAATAAAACTGCCTGAAACTGCATGGTTGTGGAGGCTGTGAAATTACCTAAAGACATTATACACCTTCCTCCCTGCTCCCAGTGTTTTTCACTGTGTATGATGTTCATTGATTATGTACTTTCATGGTGTAATTTATTGCTCCGTGTGCACAGTCTATAGTAGAATAAATCTTCACATTCCTGTGTCAGAGGTTTTTGTTTGTGGCATGGCGCTGCACATGTTCATTCATGAACTCTGTAGTCCAAGAACTGACACATCTATGAAGAACCTACATAATTCACAATTCCTTGGATCTCTCAATCTAGTTTTCTTAAGATGAGAACTAAGCAGTAACTAAATCCGACACAGACCAAGCAGGCAGAGCAATTAACACAGAGATCACTATGTCTTTTATAACATTAGCACTCCTACATTTGTGATGTAACACAGAAGAAACAGTGATGCATGGATTGTGTGCCTGTCCCTAGTGAACAGGGACAGGCTAGGTGAATAAATACATGGACATGGGGGAATTGATCAGCCATGACACTGCAAACTGCCGCTGCAACATGCAATCCCATCATTACAAAGTAATGCAAATGAACCACAGAGGGAATATGTGATAAATTGCCTGGCTCCCCGACTGGGTACCTCTGCCAACCAGTGTGTCCTCTCCAAACCCTTCTAGCAGACAAATAGCTAATACCAGCCCTTTACCCCAAGCTTCATACACAGTCAAGATGTTGAGGTAAAACTAAAGGAATAATTATTCAATAAAACCTAAAGACATACTTTTTACCCCCAGGAGGACATTCCCATCTTGGGGATATTAGCATAGATTAGATAAGATGTACCGCTAGTCAAAACATGACAATGCAACCTTTAAACATTAATCTAATTAACTGCTAGGCACTTATACAAGTTTTATCAATATGGCTAGTAGCCATGGGAATTCCCCACCCTGCCTCTCTTGTCTATGTGCTGGAAAATATGTCCACAATAAGTCTTGATTAGCCAAGACATGCCCATCATAATGCACAGAAACAGATTCACAGCCCCAGATACATAAAGTACATCACACCACTAGTTTCTAAATGTCCCACCCCAGATCCAGCTTGGAGCTAGGTTACGAAGTGGCACATCTTCAGCAGAAATAGTATAAAAAGGTAAAAATATAAAGTTGGTAGTAGCTTTGGCAAAATGGACAAATGCTGCATTATGCAGCTCTTGAGGACTAGCCAGGGCAAGATAAGAAATATTCCCAAGAAGAGTTCCATATTCCCAGCTGGTGTCTGCATGATCTGTCTAACACAATGTTTCCGGACACTCACCACTGTTCTGAGGACCTCCTGACTGCATAATCCCAGTAGATACTCCCAGCCAGTCAAAGGGAGTTAGGGCCCAGCTCTCCTCTGTGCTCTAACCTGGAGAAACAGACAAAATCCCCAGTCTCCTCCACGGGCCATAATCAGTGGGCAGAAGGCTAGCCCATAGTCTCCTCCAAAAGCCCATGCCCTGGTTCAGTCTGCCACAGAATATAACTGCACTAGTTAAAACAACAAAAACATTTGAAAGTGTATAATGCCTTTAACAATACTGACAACCCAGTATCAGGTCTAAAATGTTTGGGGTCATACCTGGATGTGTGGCTGTTTGGAGTATATCTATTTAGTAGTCTATGACGTTTACATTACATGCTTAGTTTTCTCAGTACTATGTACTGTACACCATTCGGTTTGTACATTTTCAAGAACTTGCTCATTGTAGTTAGTGTTTGTTGCTCTTAGGATGGATCTTCAGGCCACCACCTGAAGTTTTATATGAAGGAACCTAATTCAAGTAAGAATACCAAGTGGTACTTCAAAGGAAATACTAAAAACCTGCATGAGCAAATGTTTTTAGTTTGTATTATAATAGATAAATGCGAAAGCTAATAAAAATGGTACAGCAACAAGTGTGAAATAGCACAATAAACATGCGTAACTAATCAAGGCTATACTCATGAAACATTAAAAGCAAATAACAATATAGACAATGCAAAATTATATAAAGAAAGGCAAATATGAGATTTGTACAAAAAGCAAGGAAAGGTTGCACTGCATTGTATAGGAAAAGTAGGGAAATGGGTGGGGTAGCTAGCAGAGAACATCACAGAAACTTCCAGATTACTAAGACATCTGTTGGCTGTGACTAATAAATTTGGATTTCTGAACTCTACAAAAAGGGGCATGGTGCTCATTTTGTGTTTCCAAACAATTGGACCAGGCTGATGTGAGGCAGCGATAAATTGTTTTCTAGCACCCTGGTGAAAATTCAGAATTCAGAGTTGAGTCCAAGAGATCAAAAAGTTACCTGATGGTAGGAAGTGGAAGTATATTGTGACAATTTTTAGAGCACAGTTTCACTAGCAGGTACAGCTAACTTCCTTCACCTTTTTAATTTTAATTGAGTGATAGTTTACAAGGGTTATAGAGTAATATAAACAGCTTCATCTTAACAAACTTAATAACCATAGTTATTAGTATATCACATAATTATAAAAATCATAAAAATGTTTTAGTTTGCAATAAATTATTTAAAATTATATAAAATGATGTGCTTAACCAGATCTACTGGTCACAAGTGTAAAGTGTATGATCAGATGCACCAAAGTAAAATACATACACAGATAATGCAGTAAGGCCTCGTTCACACCACGCGAAGAGACGTCAGCTTTTCTGCATGTATTCGGCAAGGATACAAAAAATTATTGTTCTCTATGTTCCCTGTTCACACAACACTAGTATCATGTGCAGATTTTTTCTGCACAGGAATCTGCAACAAATATAAAACTTACTAAAATGCACATGATAACTGATGTCTCTGCAAGTGAAATCTGCACATCAGTTTCCATCAGCTTTATGTATGTATGATTTGAATGAGCCTTAGTCCCCTACATATGAATGTTTAAGTTGTGAACTTTCAAAGATGCGAACATGCATTCACATACCCAATCATGTAAAGCTGGGTACACACACTTACAATGAATGAAAAAAAACTGACAGATCACCATACCAACACAAGCATGATCTGACAGGGGA